CATACGAGTGTACGCATTTTAGTTTACACAAATACACTCATATATGAACAATGCGGGACCAGGCGCAGTCATGTGTCCATGTGTTTGAGCACACATACATACGCAATTGTAATCGTATTTCGGTGTTAAGATTGTGTGTAGCAAAGTTCTTTCAACAAGGAGAGGGTAGGGATGTTCTTGTCATTTTTCAAATCGGCCGTCTATGTAGTCAAAGGGAATAACACTTCTTCACACACACACACATATATATGTGTACATATATTTCTATGTAATTTCAATTAAATTTTAAAGTATTATAATATCTGAGATGATACTGACTGATAATCATATAAATTTAGAAAAATTTAACTTAATATTTCTTTTTACCCAATAATTTGACTGATTTAATTACTCAAATTAGCCCATTAAAGATGGAGGTGTCGAAGTAAGATTTAAGGCACATAATGCTTCATGAATTTAAAAAAGGGATCTCTGCAGCCGAAACGACAGGAAATATTCAATCAGCTTATGGAAAGGAATGCCTGAATGAAAGAACTTGCAGAAGATGGTTTGTCAAATTCAGAAGTGGGAATTTCAGCCTCGAAGAAGACCGAACAGAACGTTCAGATGAGCGACTTGTGGCATCACTGGAAAAAAATCATGGCGTATTAGTTGAAGAATTGGCAATGAGGATTCGTTCAAACCATAAACTCTTAACCGTCATCTTCAGCAACTTGGAAAGGTTCCTAAACTTGGAAGATGGATGCCTCATCAACTGTTTGAAGTCAACAGCAAATCCCTAGCTATCTTCTCTTCTCCTCATTCTCGTGAACTCATCTCGTCTTTTTTGGATAGACTTGGGACTGGTGATGAAAAATGGACTTTTTTTATCAAATTGTTTAACGTCGTAGACAGTGGCTTGATAATGGAGGAAAAGGGTCAAACTCATCTTCATGCGCAGGAGGTTCTTCTCTTAATTTGTTGGGATTGCAAAGGAATAATTCACTTTGAATTGCTACCAACTAATGCAACAATATTCAAGTCTACACTCAGCAATTAGAGCGCTTAAATGCAGTCTTGAAGAAGAAAAAAGACCTGTTTTAGGGAATCGAAAAGAGTTGTGTTTCAAAAGGACAATGTACAACTCCGAGCTGCAAAAATCACATCCCGGAAAATTGAATAACTTGGTTGGGAAAGAATTTCTCATTCCCCCTATTATCTAGACCTTGCTCCTTCAGACGACCATTCATAGTTTACAGAATCATTTGGGTGGAATCTGTGAGGTGTTTGAAACTGACATTTCATAGTTCTTCTATTCGAAACCAAAAGAGTTTTTTTATTAGTGGGATTAAAAAGTTTGTAAGCAGATGGAAAGAAGTCATAGATAATTATGGAAACTACATTGATAAATAAATTTCAATATAATGTAAGATTTGATCACTCGTTCTTTATTATTCAAAATCCAGACAGAATTCATATAATATATATATATATATATATATATATATATATATATATATATATCTGTGTGTGTGTGTGTATACGGCAGACAAGGTGCTTTTCTAACCATAGCTCAATTAGATCTCATTTAAATATTCATGGAGACCTACTGGACACTATCTGTAACATATTTGTTGACAACAAAAATATATCATCATCATCTACATGCAAAAAAAAGGCTAAAAATAATGGAAGCCTTATTAATAAAAACAAAAAAAGCAAGACTTAATAGTATTAACTATGAACATGGACACAATATTTTGACCGTGTTTTGAAAAATGAAAACATTTTATAAAACATACATGCAACAAACTATTTCTTATTTAACAGTTAAAATATTTAATCCTTGAAAATAGCTAAATGTATAGCCGAAAGCGCTTGGATAAAAAGAACATTCGGACAGTTTTTATATAATTTGTCATCTGAAAAGAAAAAACTATTAGATCGCATGAGAAATTGTATACAAAACTGAATAAAAGCACCTTGTCTGTCGTATTCAATGGAATGTGCATGAAAGAAGGATTGCTGCCTAAATACACACACACACACACACACACACACACACACACACACACACACACACACACACACATATATATATATATTGTTTTTTTTTTAAACAATTATATGATCTGCTTTTGTATCGAACAGTGTTTTTTTTTTTAAATAAGAATAAATGCTAAGAATTCTGAATTATAAAACTCTCCTAAATCTTTCCTATTATATGATAGGGGTTATCAGAGAAAATACAAAGGATCTGTGGTCCATATAGCATCAGAACAATCTTTGAAAGTGGTTCAACTCTTCGCAGGCACCTATTCCGGGTAAGACCTTTCATAGAGGAGGACATGTCTAAGGACTGTATGTACGCCATCCCGTGTAACTGTGGTAGGAAAGACAAGGGAGAGACTGACCGCCTCCTTAAGGTAAGACTGCAAAAACATCGTAAAGCGTTAACACAAGGAAAAATAGAAAAATCAAATGTAGTTGACCACATATGGAGGGAAATGGGTGATCACCGCCCTCTGTGGGATGAGCTTCAAATAATAGACAGCGAGCATCACTGGAAAATACAAAAACTTAAGGAATCAGCACATATGCTAGGCCACAAAAATCTCCTGAGCCGACCAAGCATAGAAATGAATACAATATAGGAACCAGTAATAAGGAGTGCTAGAGAAAAGCAATGAATAACAACAAAAATTGCAATATAAGCTCTGGTAAAAATGCAATAACACAACAGAAAAATTACGATATGAGCACTGGCAAAATGGTTGCTGAGACATTGGGTTTAAATGTCCTCAATGACACATGGCGAGTACAACAGTCCGAACGATGTAAATAGTGTAAATAGCTGTAATAACCCATTTCAAAAATATAGACAGCTGAAGAATAGTTCAACATGAAAATTAAGAATTAGAGATACCAGAATCAAACAAGTACAGCAATTTAAACTTATCGGGAGTGTTTTAACAGATGACGGATAGTGTGGCACTGAAATCCGAAGGCGAACTGAGATAGCGAAAGTTGTCTTCCAAAAGCTTAGCAAAGTATTAGGAAACAAAAAAAAAATCGTTAGAAACAAAGAAAAGATTTGTGGACAGTTATGTAATATCAGTTCTTTTCTATGACAGTTAAATCTTGCTGGACAATCTTCTCACAGATGAAGAAGAGACTAGAAGAAATAGAAATGTGGTTCTACAGAAGGATGCTGAGGTTATCTTAGACCAACGTCGAAATTTTAGAGAAAAGGTGTTATAGAGTACAAAAAGGTTTCTCTTCCGCCGTATGAGTTCGAATCCCTCGTCGCCAAAATTGTTATAGAATAGTTTCACATTGGAGGCTTGTATTTCACTAAGTCGGTCCTAAAAAAGTTCGACGTACAAAACGTTAGGAACTCAAAATAATAGTTAATGACGCAGCAATCTAGTTGTGATGGTTGATACTTTAATGTCCGACATCGACTGACTCACCAACTCACTCAGCTCACTCGCGACTGCTACTACTACTACTACTACTTATTATATGTGGGAGAGTCTATTAACAATAGAATAGGCATGTTCCGGTATAACAAAAGGGAAACGAAAAAAAATGTTATACTTCAGGAAGAGACAGTTGAAATTTCTAGAGTACATAAAGTTGAAAGAAGGCTTGGAAAATTTGTTACGCACAGGACTGATTGAAAGCAAGAGGGAGAGCGGAAAACGGCGCATAACATACCTAGCGTGTTTGAGTAAATGAATGACGGAGCAAGATCTAGGAGAAAACAAAATATGAAAATTAATTAAGAGCTACAAATGAGAGAAAATTATGGAGAGAGCCATAATCGACAACATCCTGAAGGGACACGGCGCATAGAAGAAGATGAGGAATATATGATTTCGAATGTCTACCCAAACTTTACGAGAGCAGATATCGGATTTGAAACAAAATGAAATTAACATGGAATAGATATTATTCTTCTACGTTGCAGTGTGGCCCAGAAATCACACGTAAAAAGATATGATTGGGTTAGAACAGCAATAAAACAGGAAGTCAGTAAACAATTCCATGGCGTTGTTGTCATGAATCAACGTGAAACTGAAACCAAAAAGAAATATAAAAGAAACTATGTCGGCTTCTGCAAACGGAGATGGTATTTCGAAGAATTTTCTAACATAATCTGATTGTCGAATTTTGGGAAATATTAGTTATTTTGGGGTAAAAAGTGGGTGACGATTTCTGGACACATACTGACATTGTGTCATCGGCAATGGTTACATTTTTTTGTGTATGGCCCAGTAGTCTTGCTTTATATTTAGAGATTGTTATTAAAATCCAAAGAATCAGCAAATATTATTGGTCCTGACCTATCATCTCGGCTTCACCCCCATTCCTACTGCCGTAATGTAGATTTCCTGTGCCTTTTTTTTATCAATACTTTCATAGTAACTGTTCGGATGAACTCTTCGCTATGGTACTGTTATATACCGTACCTATGAACACTAACCGCTATGTCCAAATTCTCACAAATACTTTGGACACGACTGTAAGTGAGGGTAATATGCTGTCTAAGTAGTGTACCACTAGAAGTGGTTTACCTACTTCACGCCGCTGGCGAGTATTGTATTTTGTTGATGTTATAATGATTACCATTTCATTTCCAACCTCCGTTTTGGTTATTCCTCATTCAGTGTTGAAACTTGAATAAAGCATGGAATAATAATAATACAACACAAAATGTACTTAAACAAAATGTATTGAAACAAGAAAGTGTACACAATATTTACAGAGAGTTTTGGTATATTCTTGGGAAGACCGTTCCTGTAGAATGGGTTGACTTAGTCACAGTCGAGCAGAGTCTCTGGATTGTATCTCTTCTTCCTCACCCGTCTTCCCGGTACCAACCATATTTATAGGGTCGGTACTCCATTATGTAAATTAGGTGGATCGTACCACGACATTCAGAAACCCTTTCTAGGTTACAACAGTTTTTATATATGTATATCGATGCAGAATTTCTGAAATATGGATGCACAAACTGATAAATTTATTAATAAAATAATAATAAGATAAAATAATAGATAGATAGATAGATAGATAGACAGATATAGGCAGACTGAGAAGGAAAAAGAATGAAAGAGAGTGAAAAGTGAACAGATAGGACTAGATAGATAGATAGATAGATAGATAGATATTGTTATATACCGTACCTATGAACACTAATGAGTATATCCAAATCCTCGTAAATACGTTGGACACTCTTGTAAGTGGGGAAAATATGGTGTCTAAGTAGTCCACCACTATCAGTGGTTTACCTACTTCACGCCGCTGGCGAGTATTGTATTTTGTTGATGTTATAAAGATTACGATTTCATTTCCAACCTCCGTTTTGTTTATTCCTCATTCAGTAACTCTTCCTAGGTTACAATTTATACCTAGACTTCATGAATTTAAGCGCAGTACTAGATTGGCAGAAAGGTCTCATCAATTCACAGTTGAATTGACTAGATTTAACCGTAACGTTTATGCTAAAAGTTTATTTTCTCGCATTTGCAAAATTCTCTCCAGGCTCCATGCTTTCCAGCTAACTTTGATTTTCAAAAAATTAAATGAAATGTCAATCACTATCTGTCTTTTTGATTACTCTTCTAATTTCCCTGCTTAATAATGTTTTCTCTTTTTTTCTTATTCTTTTTCTCACTCAGTAATTCCTTGTGTGTTAGTGACTTTACTACCTTACATGGGGTGTAATGATTCAAACACTGCAAAGTTAGTGTCATCTTAACACTATAAGATAAATATATGATACTGTATTGTTAGCAGACACAGAAATGAAACAATAGGACTTCCTAGACAAGATAATAAAAGAAAGCCTGAAGAAAAGAATAACCATCAATTGTAAGAAGGAAGAATGTCTGGCTGGCCGTAAGTGTAAAAAAAAGCCGAACATACTAACTACGAAATGGAAATGTCGACATCAAAAGTACAGACGTTAAATATCTGGGAAGTGTTTTAAGAGGATATGGTAAAATGTGGCACGGATATCCGAACGCAAATTGGAATAGTAAAAGATGCACTCCAAAAGCGAAGCAAGATAATAGGAAATAGGAAAATTTCCATAGAAAATCAAATATTGCTGAAATATTATGTAATATCAATCCTTTTTGTATCACGGTGAATGCAGTACAATGCCATCACAGATGGTATTTCGAAGAATCTGTTAACATAAACTGTCGAATCTCTGTAAATAATGTTATCTTCAAAGATGAAGAGAAAAGTGGAGGCAACAGAAATGTCCTTCTACATGAAGATGCTGAGATCACCTAAGCAACAAAGAGGTCTTAAGGAGAATGCTAACACAAAGCAACGTAATCATAAAGAGGTAGATGAAATTGGCGGCAGAGGCCATATTAGATTGTTGTGTATTCATTCTCTTTCGTTTAATTATGGCTTCTAAGCGTAGTGTAACCTCTTCTTCTGATGGCGGTGCTTCGGAGAAAATGGAAGCCATCACTATAGAAGTTAAATTGGACATTAGTTAACGTTCTAAAAAGGGAGAAACAGCGACAAATATTGGTCGGTTGCTTGGCTTATGTCGCTTACAACATGTCCATATATGTAGACATATTGAGTTTCCCTGTAAAGAGATAAGGACATTTTCTTGTTAAACTACAAGTTGGTAAATTCCCTATAAAAAAGAAAAAACAAACATACGTTTGTTTTCATGCTGCTACTTCTGAGTACGACAAGAGAGATAAGATCTTACGCTTCCTCATCTCATCTACCGAGAACCAACGTCATCACTGACAATAAATATACAAGCAGCTTAAAACAATTTCATATCATTATATGTACTAATTTTATTTCATTTCATTATAATTACTTGCTCCATGTGACTTTTGAGTCATAATGATGTAAACATATGCCATAGAAATGTGTTGTTATGACCTAGATTATTATTTTATTATTGAATTAGAAAAGGGGAATGAAGTAAATGCTTATTGACGGAAAATCCCGATTACGTTCCGCCTTATATGGAAAATTGCGTTATGAGACACCGTAATAACAGAACTATGCCGTAAGTCGAGGACCCCTGTAGTTTTTATTTCATTACCGTTTTAATAGTAACCTTCTATCTTGAGTGGTTCTTGAGACTTGTATTGAGTGAAATTTTAAGCGATAACTAACGTTTAAAGTGATAAAAATCTGTCGAATTAATAAATAAAAATCTATTACTCTCTATAAAATTACTTTGTTTACGTTTAGATACGAGACTAAGCAGATATGATAATTTCGAAGAATCTATGAGAAGAAGAATTTCGCTTAAAGACAGTTATCAGACATTGCTATATCGTGGTCGAGTCTGTTAAAGCACATCGAATCTAAAGATGGTTTTCTTCTCCCCAGAGGGACGCAGGTTCGTATCCTGCCGAAGAGCGCATATTTTTCTTTAGTAAAATTTCTCGAATATTCAGGCTGGTAAGAAAATAAATAAATATATCGTTTAATAAAGAAATGAAGCGTCTACTGATATGAATAGGAACTAAAAATAACATTTAAAGTGATAAAACTGTATTACTATATATATATATATATTTATATATATATAATAAAAAGGTTTAAACACTAATATTTCATAGTCATAATTTATTCCATTGGAATCGTAAATAGTAATAACTTCCGCGATCGGTGTGATCTGCGCATGGTGGAAAAAAAAATAGGTATTTACGATTTCAATGGAATAAATTATGACCATGGAATATTAGTGTTTAAGCCTTTTTATTATATCCTTACTCTGTCCTGGACATTGAGTTCTACCTGGATTCTATCCTCTTGGAATTTTTTATTCAAAAAATATATATGTATGTGTATGCATGTATGTATATATATTTATATATTTTGCATATGTATGTGTATATTTACCATTAATATTATATATATATATATATACAAATGTTTGGAGGTACAAAATTTATAAATAGTTTTAAAAACAAGGAAACCATTGATTTTAATTTTAAAAGTCTCTAGGGCCCTTTCAGCCAACATCTCATCAGGAGACAATCGTTGGATTAGCGAAAAGAATATTAACGATATTGAAGAGCAAAAAAAAAAAAAAAGAGGGGGAAACACACTAAAATAACAAACAAGTATATATACTTGTAACGAGGGAAGGGATCGTGTAAATAAATTAGCGAGGGACAGTCTATTGCTCAACATTTAGTTGAGAATATAGCTTGTGCCAAGTTGTATAAAAAAGAGTGGTTTAAAATTATTCATACAGCCGATTCCAATAATCATTTGAAGATTTTGGAATCGGTCTGTATAGGATTAAGAAAAACCTTCTCTCTGCCGGCAGAAAGAATTTATAAGGTCTCTAAATCTGTTGGGGATATTTTATTTTAACTGTCCTCGCTAATTTATTTACACGATCCTTCCCTCGTTACAAGTATATATACTTGTTTGTTATTTTAGTGTGTTTCTTTTTTTTTTGCTCTTCAATATCGTTAATATTCTTTTGCTAATCCAACGATTGTCTCCTGATGAGATGTTGGCTGAAAGGGCCCTAGAGACTTTTTAAAATTAAAATCAATGGTTTCCCTTTGTTTTTAAAATTTATATATATATATATATATATATATATATATATATATATATATATATATATATATATCGACAAAATGATAGGATAAAGAACCACTAGGAAAGACATCTTAATCTAACATGTTTCACGTTATTAAACCTTTGTCAGAGATCAAGATAGAAATGATAAAAAGCAAAGAGTTACAGATTAATGGTATGTTGTGTTTGGTTATTTCTTATTGGCTGGATACGTGTCACGTGTAATGATGTTTGCCACACATGTTGGAATATTATCTGTTCCTTCATTACACGTGACACGTATCTAAGATCTGTTTTCTTCTTGTTCTTTAACCTATCATATATATATATATATATATATATATATATATATATATATATATATAGAGAGAGAGAGAGAGAGAGAGAGAGAGACAGAGACAGAGACAGAGAGACAGACAGAGAGAGAGAGAGGAGGCATGGTGGAATAGTGGATAGCGGCTCGGATGAGGAATCGGAGAGCCGAGTTCGAATTCCAGTCTAATCCATTGCATTCACTTACGTGCTAATACCCTTTGGAAAGGCATGAAACCAACTATGGGTAAATAACTGATCAGACTGCGTTCTATAGCCTTGAATGGCAACTCTGAATTCAAAACCTGCAGAGAGTCGTTTGGGCACCAGGTCTCTGTATTCGGTCCTTCAAAAAGTGTGGATGGTCCTGCACAAAGCCTTCACCACTATAATCAAATCACATGTGTTGGTGTCTGGCTGTCAGTTCCTAGGATCTGAGCTGCTTGACCTTCATACGTCGAATACGACGGAAAAGTTCACCATATATATATATATATATATATATATATATATATATATATATATATATATATATATATATATACGTTATATTTAGCAGCAGTGCATGCTTTAGTACACATCCTTGTTTTTAGCAACAGTGTAGTTGACGTCTACTGGTGTGAGTAATCGAAAGTCTTAATTAAAAAATGAGCTTTAAACTCAGTGTTCTTTGGTCTACTCAGCCAAGGGAGACGACACCGCAAAACAAGTTTCAGTTAGCCTGTTATAAAAAGAAAAATGCGCATTTCTCGTCGAGTCCTTTCGATGGCTATATCTGTTAACCCTATTTTTTCGTATCCGAAACATAAAAAAGTGATTTCTAAGGTATTAATGGATTATATTTTGTTGTAATGGAATGTCACACTCACCTTATCGCCTATTGTGGACTGACTATACATAGAGTGTGCACAGGTCATACCTGGCGGACTTACTTCGAACTCTACCTTTCGGGCAGAGAGAAACCCAGACGAGGCTATGCCGAAGTGCAGAGTCTCATCTGGGGTAGTAGACAGCTACCCGACCCCGTGTATACGGAGTCTACGGAGAACACAGGCGAAGTTATATCGAAGGGCATAGTCTCGTCTCGGGATCAGCTACCCGACCCAGTTTTATACGGGGAATTTTTGGCTAAGCCTACGGGCTCGGATACCCCACATAAAAATTCGGCCTTGTGCCACATCTGACCGCATCAGGCGGTTGGTAGATATCCTTGTTTCGGGAATTACTAACCAATTCCTTGTCTGCTAACCGATCCCTTGTCTTTCAGTAGTGTATTCTCTTTTACAATAAACCTCTCTTTCTTTCATCTACGCCCGTGTTGTTGCTCCTTTCACTCGAGTACCATCTTTGTCTGCGTGTAACCTTCTTTAAGGATACAACATATTTATACTTAAGACTGAACCTAATAAAAATACTCTGGATCTTTGACATCAAAACCAACTATACTATCCAAGTCAGAAGACTAGATGTGATAAATAAGATTGTAAATAAGAAAAAATAGTTCCCTATTGTAGATATGCTGTGGTAGACACCTGAAGTATGAAAAAAAAGGATTTGAGCCTTAGTAGTTCTAAGAAACTGACTAACATGAAATTTAACGTTGTACCCATAATAGTAGGCGCACTTGGAACATGCCGAAGAACGGTGATTGACCAGACCATTAGCCGAGGTCTACGAGAATACTGAGAAAGGGTCGGAAGAGTTAAAGAAACTCGCTGTCACTCAGTCTCCACCAGCAATCACAAATAAATAAATAAATAAATAAATAAACCAAAAAACCAGCTGCTCCGAGCAGGATTAATACAGAAACAACAATAGGGTCATTTAAGAAGATAAATTGAATGAATAGTAAATGAAAGAATATTTTAAAAGGGAAAAAAAATAAAAAGTACGAAACTGAATCAGTATTAGGCCGTCTAGAACAACGCCTTATGAATCAACTGAATAGAAGCCAAGATAGATAAGATTCAGGGGAATAGTAAATGCCGATAAGACGATTAAGTATAAGTGAACGCATCAAGTTAGCTCAGAAATAGTACAGAAATAGACTGGGTGGGAAGGGTGATCCACTGGGAATTGAGCAAATGACTGCGATCTGAACGCACAGGCAAATTGCACAAACCAGAATCTGTCTAAGAGAATTAAACGATCACGCACTCTGGGTTAGAAGATCAAATCTAATTATCGTGGTCAAAACATATCAGACTGTCGATTTTTTTTTCTATTCAAGGAAGCAAGCTAGGGATTAAAATGAAGAGAACTGAAGAAATCATAGGACATGAAAGTAAAAGTGATTCTATTCATTGCTGGAGCACTGGGAACAATTCCAAAAATCTTACCAGAAAATGCAGAAAAGCCGAGGAAGAATAAACACCATCCAAACAACGACATTATTGAAATCATCTGGAATACTGAGGGAGGTGCTGTAACTGAGAATACGTGGTCTCCGGTGAAAGTCATCGGATGATACTGGTGTAAAATCGAAATGTAGAGTAAAAAGAATAATAATAATAATAATGATAATAATGATGATGATGATAATAATAATAATAATAATGACTCTTCGTGAAAAGGAAAAATGACAGACAATTGTCACTTCTAAGTGAAGTAAACAAAGGCTCTAAAATAAACGAAAGAAAAAGGACACAACTTAAACGAAGCCTTGACTTAAAGTATAATACTGACGTACCAAAAGTTAAAGAGAATCTGAAACAAATTCAAGCGAAGGCACAGTAAATCAAGAGTTATGAAAAAAAAAGAAGCAGATTCTTCTGGCAAAACAAGAACTTCAAAGAAGATGCCAAGAAACTATATCGAGAACTTGGCAAAAAATAAAATAGAGATAAATGACCGACGTAATATCCAGTAAGTTCAGGAGTTTTGCTGCAGAATGCGGGAAAATTGCAAAGTGCACAATTAAAGAGCAACAACACACATATATAGAGTGCCAAAAATGGACGGATATCAATATTACTGAAACAGCCGCTGCCATCTGCAAAACCAAATGCTGGAAAGCACCAGGGATAGACCGAATAGCCAATCTTTGGATAAAAAAACCCTATTTACCAACTACCAAGACCTCGCACGGGCTTAATCATAAAACCAGAAAAATGCCCTAAATGACTCACGCGGGGAGTAACATACCTAAGCCCCAAAACAAGCAACACAGAACCTCGACAACTATAGGCCCATCACCTGCCTACCAAAAATGTACAACTTCTATCATAACCGAGACAACATACAACATCCTTGAGAAAAACAGTTTACTCCCTGCAGAACAGAAGGGATGTAAAAGAGGAAGTCACAGGTACAAGCACCAACTAATTATCAATAAAACAATATTAAAAGAGGTGAAAACAAAGAAAAGAAACTTATCGACAGCATAGATTGACTACAGAAAGGCGTTTAATAGTGTTTCACACTCATTGGTAAAGACGAGACAAAATATACAATGGTCAAATTCATAACAGAAAGCATGAAAAACTGGAAGACTACACTAAATGTGAACCATACAAACGGGTCATTAACATCGAGACCAATCAACATCAAAAGCGGGATTGTTATGGTCCAATTCCTTTTACCACGGTGATAGTCCAAGGTAGAACCAATAAAGAAGAACTCGAAGGCGGATATGGAATAACACAGATATATTACAAACAGGAATATATACAGAGAGGTAGAAAAGTGTTAGTACGAACAATCAGGTTTCGTAGTAATTGTCTGAACGCGACTCTGTTTCGGTCTGCCTCTGACTCGACTGACTGACTCGCTCTGACTGGCTGACTGACAGACTCCTGACGGACTTTACTCCAGACTTCAGACTGAACTCTGACTTCAGACGGAACGGTATTTAGTCACCCCCCCCACGAGGGCACAAGGCCGGTTTAACGTGGGATCTCCGAGCCTGTGGGCTCGGCCAAAAATATGCCCTTTGAACCCATATAAACGGGTTCAGGGTCGGTTTACCTCCCCGAAAGAGACTCCGCCCTTCGGCGTAGCCTCGCTCGAGTTCCCTCCCGCCCGAAGGCAGAGAGTTCAACCGATCAGCCGGTCGCCGGACTTCAGACGGAACTCTCTGCTTCCTCTTGAGGCGCAGTATTTATTACGTATGGAATAGTCCATTATGTTATGGGTAAGGTCCCATAACAGGGATCTTCCAAGGAGATTCATTATCACCATTACTCAGCTGCCCACCGAACAACAGTAGCCACGGATACAAGACACAGAATAGCAAACTGAATCACCGATTTTATACCGCTGATTTTAAAACGTTTGTCAAGGATGCCAACCAACAGAAAAACCTACTCACCATTGTCAAAACTTTCAGGGAAGATATTAGGATGGAGTTCAGAATCAACAAATGTGCTAAAGTCACCTTTAAAGGCGGTAAACTAACGAAAACTACGGATTTAGACCTTAAATTAAGGAACTAGACCAAGACGGTACATACTGACACTTAATGAAGAGAAGATAGTAGCGTTTAACGTCTCCAGCCAATAGCTTATAAATAAAGGACTACTCTGTTTTGATAAACAGAACACATATCAGAGGTGCTACTTGGGTTCAGTGAGAAAATGAATGAAAGAGAAAAGAAAGAAAGATAGAAGTGTTTAACGCCTGTTTCAGTGAAATGGAAAAAAAGCGGTCAATTTCGAATCTTTTCTTTTCTATCCCCTTACTTCTTGAAATAGCGTTCAGCATTCATATTTATGATTTTTATTGCAAGCTAAGGTTGTTAAACTCAAATATTTAACGATGCGATAGGAGAATTTTTACGGATATTTTACTGTTAAAAAAATTCACCATGAGCTGACTCAATCATTAAGAATTAAAATTCTTCAGAAAATTCAAGAAGGAAAATCGTGAAATTTTCACTGGCATTTCTAGTAATAATAATTGTGTCAAACTGAAATGCATATTCTGTAATAACTATCCAGAAACAATTGACCATCTTGTATCAGGTTGCGCGGTATTGGCACCCACTGAATATAAAACACGGCATGACAGAGTGGGACAATATCTGCATTGGAAAATCTGCAACTTTTACGGGAAGGAAATTGCAAGAAATTGCTAAGAACAACACCCAGATCCGGTTACAGAGATAAGACCTGTAACAATTTTATGAGA